GTAAAACCGCATTAGAGCAATAATAATAGGTAAATAATAGATAATAATATCATTCAAGTATTTCGTTCATGACCTGTCATGTAAAATGTAAATGTAAATGTAAATGTCATGTAAAAATAATGAAAAGGAAAAACGTGATTATTTAGTCCTTCACATTTTTATGCATAGCACACGTATTTTCAGTCCGATTTTAACGTATTATGGCTCATTTTGTTGCTGATTAGTAGATCTATCACATGCTACAATAAGGAATTGCTGTAATTTCACGTGCTTCTTATAAGAGTGACATATTTTCAAAATCTATTAGGGTGTTTTGTCACCGGAAAATATACACCAAAAATACGTAAGGTCGACTTCTCAAAATGCATATTATAGTAGAAGGATTGTTCTATTCAGAATGGCTGTATGATTTTTGGGGGATTTTTGACAAATTTTATAAAATGGTCAATGTAGGCCTGTAGACCCCCCAGATCACTGCCACAAATCTGCACTATACATCAGATTTTGAGAAACTTACGTGCTGGCAATGTCCGAAAGGCTTAGGAATGCAGATACACAATAGACAACTATGGTATATCATGCTTTTCATACCAAAAAATTAATGATGATACTTATTTACGCAGAAATGCCGTTCCAGACGCAAATTTAGTCCAAAATGAACGTATTATGGCTCATTCTGTAGATAAATAAAATATCTAGGGAATGTAGGAGGCGGATATCCCGATTTTTTCCTGTGCTTATTGTAAAAGATATATATATATAAAAAAAAAAAACGTCTTTTTCGGAGACCTGCTAGTCGACTCGGTAAAATATTAAAAAAAAGTCGAAAGGATGATTCTGTAAAATAAAACGATCGGAATGACTGTGCGACTTTTTTGGATTTTGAACAAATATTCTGCTTTGGTCAAATTCCAAAATTTTTCTTCGGTGATTTTTTTGTTTTTTGACAATAACCCAAAAACTGTGTTTGGCCGATTTCGAAAAAAATACCACAGAGATAAGGCTAGGTGTGAGTTTCATCAAAATCGGCAAGAAAAATCGAAAAATCGAAAAAAAGGAGACGATCTCCTTGAGGTATGATTCTTTGGGATGGAAAAAAAATATTGCATTCGTTAAAGTTATCAATGTAAGTAAAATAATTACTTGTCGAGAGAGTGATAGAAAGTGAAAAGCTAAGATTGTAATGTTGCAGAGGTTGAGTATTTGATCCGTTATTTCGGTTTTAAATGTTTTAGAATTTCATAGGAATCCTAGAAAATAAGGTGACGACCTCTTGACTTAACTGTCAGGTGAAAATTTTTAATTAGATATTGCACACCGATGTCTTAAAGTTTATTTCCCGCACTCTTGAATGTCAAAAAAAGCGAGGACGGTTTTAACTACATAGGTCCCTATTACCTCGACCTCAGACAGAGGAAGCCGACTGCAGGCGCGTGGCAAGGGAGCAGAGCGTCGTGCGAGAGGTGAAGAGAGTGAAGGAACTGATTCAGCAGTACAAGGACAGACTCGGCCACACCACAACCTTCTATACTCAGCAAGCCCGCGGCCTCTCTCTCATGCACTACGAGGCCATGCACCAGCTGGTCATGGAGGTAAGCTTGGTCGTGATGGTTGTATGGGCTTATATTCAAGGTCCAATTTGCTTATATTCACCTGGATCGCGTGGATTCGTAAACGGCCCTTCATAACGGTGGGCAACGAAACGAGTGGTTTGACATAAATAGGAATGGCGTAACAATATTGATAACTATGAAGCCAACAAAAGACTCGATTCTTTGTCTGAGTAAAGAAAAACTCGAGTATATTAATTTACTTTCATAGCACATTAAAGATTTTCAGCTTGAAAAAACTTTATTTCTTTCCCTTGTCTTAGATCGTGGAGATGGACCGCGGGATCCAACACGGGGTCTTGGCGCGCGAGTGGGTGGAACCCGACCTCTCGGCCCTCTCGGACCTCTGCCCCGCCCTCAGCCCCGCCGACACCCCTGCCCTCGCTGCCGCATCCAGGATACTGGCTCCCTCAAGCGGTAAGAGAATGGGTGTAGTGTGAAGTGCAGAACGGACAAGTGATGTGAAGCACAGAGTTTACGTAAGATTCATCTGCATTTTCAGTATGGTTGCAATCAATCTATCCAACTGTATAATTTGTGTATTCAGATATTTTGCAATACAAATGTTTTTAATCCAATCTAAACACGTAAATTCAAGTCCTTCGCCACCACTTTTCGAGACACAAGTCACCTCTGCCCAACAGAAGGGTCAGTGACGGGATCGGACGCAGACACCGGCACTGTCGACGAGGACTTCCTGACGCGGCTGGCGGAGGAGGCCGCCTTCCTGGTCAGTGGCGACATCTCTCAAATGCGCCACCACGGTCCACTCCTCCTGCTGGAACATGTCTTTTGGGTACGGTTGTATCAGTAGGTTCTACATGTGTGTAATGTATAAGAAATGGACAAGTTGTGTAGACTGTAAACACCTTTAGACAATTAATGGGTCT